TAATTATTAAAAGCAAAGTAGAAAGAAGAAAATAATAATGCTTACTTCAAGGCTTTTTTGGTCGTAGGCATCTGTCGCCCTGCTTTCGCTCTATTTTCGAGTATTTGTCTGCAAGAAGTTTGGGTAACGAGGTTAGAGGTAGGTACTTTTTAGAAGTGCATCATTCATATCCATGCTCAGATGAATCACAATTTATTTGTTACATTTAATGGTCAGCGAGACCATTGCCTCTACATTCTTAGGGCCCACCTTTTAGAAGAAGATAGAATGTTCCCATCCCCTAATGGCCCTAGCAGTCATGAGCGTAGTCTTCACGAACTGAGAGGGGTATTCTGGTTCAGTTTCCGTGTCAAGACTAAGACCCAGGACATTCACTCTCTGGTGGTGCTTTGGTGTTTGTATAACCGAATAACTGCTAAAATCGTCACATGACTGTAATGGTTGGCAACACTGCGGTGGCCATATTAATAACAATGCTGATGTTATTATTAAAAATTGGGGTTTTATTCTTCTTATTTCTTACACCACAACTTGTACAACAATGTCTGTCTTTCGCTTTTGGTTTTCCATTCAATATGGCCGCCGCAGTGTTGCCAACCATTACAATGACATTATCTTGTAAACTTAGCCTTACTTGAGCAGCTTCACGCTGATCTGAGCGCTGGGCAGGCGCGCCTCCACGGGGTTGGTGATGACGAGCACGGCGTCCTCGTCGAGCAGCGAGCTGGATGTGGTGTTGTCGGCCTCCTCGTACATCTCGTCCGAGTCGATGTCGTAGTAGAACTCGTTGGGGTGGTTCTGTGAAGAGAATAGTGGAGAGAAGATATTGGAAAGAAATTGTAGTGTTTGTATCTACGTAGGCTGTCTCACGCTCACAAGTGAAAGGCAGTCACGTGATATCGTTGTGAGTGAAACGAGTCAGTCGTACGGCAGACGCCGGCGAGGGCAGACGTGCCGCAGTGAGACGCTTGGTGTGACGGTGAGCCAGTGAATAGTGCACATTTAGGTACATTACCAAAATGAATGGAGGATTAACATTTTGTTTGAGAGGAGTTTGATGTGCTCCTGAGAACATACGCCACGAATGGAAAGTTGTGTGTATGTACCTTACCTTCCTATCAACCTAGGCTCTCATGCTGGCATCTCGCTTTGTTGAGAGTCTCTTGGAACGGAACCAACTATCCTGGCTAGGCGACCTGTAGGTACATTCTTTCTTGGCTCCGCCCCAGGCTACGACTCAATGGTAGCAGCATAACTTCAAGAGGTCAGTGGAAAAATACTTTAAATGAACCTTCATTAACCAATCATACCTTGCTCAAGCTAGGGAAAAACTTGTAGCTTTGCGCCTTGCTTATGAACCGCCTGGTCATCGGCTGCAGCATGCGCCGCAGCGCGCGCCGCGCTGGCGCCGTTTGCTGGCTCTGCCTCATGAGCGTCAGCAGACGTAGCACGGAGTTGAAGTCCCATTCGGATGAGTCCACGAAGCCTGGCTCTTTCTGCACTATGGATGCTAGAGAAATACCATTAAATACACCAGTCAAAATATCCGTGGTCCGTATAGTGATCGTTAGCGACCCTTAGAAATCGATTACTGTTCTACAGTAAGTAGGTGAAAAAAAATTAAGATACTTAAAGATGAATTAATTATTTTCTTAAAATAAGGATCCTTATATCTATCTCATTTATTTCACTTTTTGTTGTTTGCCTTAATGGTTTACTGAAATAAGTTAGTTCTTCCATAACAGGTGACTTAGATAAGGTCATAGCTCACTTATCAACCCGGAAAAAGATCAACACTGTATCGTGTTTTACCACGCCGTCAACCAAGATGAAGAGTTTACGTTACGGTTCGCGTAAGTGTACTGAAGAATACTGACCGCCTCGAGTTGATACGGTTACAGCCCATTTCCGGATTGATAAGTTTGCTTCGTCCTATAAATCGACGGTTACCTTTAATCTTAATCGGAGCCACCTCGTTGAGCTCATCCAGGAACTTAGTCTTGTGGTACTGCACCAGCCGACCGAGCCAGCCTGTCTGGAACCAGGTGCTCCCAACCGCCGTCAGGCTCACGCAGAGACATGTAAAAGTCTAGGAACGTAGAGAGGGCCGTAAACGTAGTTACCTACAATCCGGTCAAGCTGGCAGCCGTGACGTCACATCGACGCTTTGGCACAAACGTGACGAACGCAGAAATGTATGTGCGGGTGAGTGCGAGGTGCGCAAATAATTTGACTGGGTTGTACAAGGGGGTTGAAAATGTCCCGAATTTACTTAGGAAAACGGACTGTACGAATACCTATCACAGAATAGTACTAATGCAGTCATCTAAACCATGTAGCGATAGTTACAGTACAGTAACAGTACGGCTAGCACGAAAAACTTTAGAGTTCAAATCGTTTGCGTACTCGAATCGCCATCAAAAGATTTAGTAAGAAAACTATAAACAGCGCCCTTGTGAACGTGTCGTAAAGTGAACTTAGTATGAGATGTGGTTGCACGAAACTTATTTTGAGAATCAAAATTGTCACGTTATCGTTTAATTCGAAGGTTGAGGTTCGAATTTTATCGAATACGCAAACGATTCGAAGACGAAAGTTGTTCATGATAGAGGTACCGAAACAAGATAGATTGTGAACGATGGCCCTGGGTGCCCTGACTAAAATACAACGTAATTGACAACGTCATTTGAGAGAAAATAATTCAAGATTTAAACTTACCAATAAATTATTCATTTTACTTAAACCTTAACATTGAGATATAAAAGCTATTTATCTATGAAACACAGAAATAATAATGCTTTAATATCACCCATTTTAATTACATGCAATAATAAATAATAAGTACCCATTTTAATGACACGTTATCAATGTAATTTTCTGCGTATTAACAAATTAAATTACATTTTTGTAAAAGTAGTAAGTATTGTATAATTTAGCAGTATAAGTATTGGGTTAGGTTTCCTCTATGCGTTAGGTAGGCTGGCAGTGGGCAGCGCAGCGCCACAATACAAACATAAACATCAATAAAATAAAATGTAATCATTTAAATAAACTGTTCATAAAAATGTATGTCGCGGTAGCGCAGCCATGCCTTTTTTGAGCAAAATATTGTATTGAAGACTGAGGATGCTTCATTGGCAACGAAACGGTGTAGAGTTTAGAGCAGTTACAAAACGCAAGCAACGTCAAAAAATTTGACATTGACATTTCCCGCAGGGGACGTATGTATTACTTTTCTCTATGGGGGACGTGGTCGGTCGGATCGACGGATTTTGCTGAAATTAATTCGAAATCAATTAATTTTGTTAAAATTTTATCACAAAGGTGTTTTTATTTAAAATTTTAATAGCTTTCTAATATTTGACAATCAATCAGTGTAGTGTAAGAGTTACAAATGACGTGAAATTATAGTTTCGAATTCATCTAAGTACTCAGATGTAAACAAAGAGATTTTTATGCGAAAAAATGCGATTAGAGATTAGTACAACTAGTGGGCGTTAATGAGTAGCCTTTTAGTAGGGTTTGTTAAGCATTTTCGACGAAAAAAGCGAGTCAAAATGAGTGGAGTGAGTCGCGATGCGCCCGTGGGGGTCCAGTGTCTTCAGAGCCTGAGTGGTTCCCTATTCCCTCGCCTTCAGTTCAACAGGCTACTATTGTAAGTTTTTTTTAAATTATTTTTTTTAATTGCGGCCAAGGCTATGGCATTCACGCTTGAGATGAATCATTGAATTTATGCATGAATTAATTGCAAACAACATTTGTTTGTAATTACTTTACAATAAAGCCTTGTGCATTTACTGAGTTATCACCAAGTTACAATATTGTTAGTCACCATTATCAAGGTTATCGTTGGCCAATTACACTGGTCAACAAAATTTTAACTTTTTCTTGCCACACGGACTTTTTTGACATTTTTTACTTTAATTGGTGATTGTAAGAAAAAATAAACTGTTAAAAAAAATTTGCTAGACAAGGATTTTATTCTATTGAGTAATTTAAAATGTTAGGAAAAAACACAGATCTCGTAAATAAAGTTATTTTTTTTTATAAATGACTTAATAATCTAAGATTTTCGTAAATATTTAGCTTCTGGTAGGTCCCTTTTAACTGTCCAGCAGTAATCTATTAACATATTTGGGCTCCATTTGCCCTGGTACCGCATTTCCATATTAGAAATGTCCTGATAGAATCTCTCACCGTGCTCGTCTCTGTCAGCCCCTAAATTGTCAGAAAAAGATCCAGGTGCGAGTCTAAAAAATGGATCTTAAGTGGCATGTTGCAACCCAATGCTTGATATGACAATAATAGCTCGCTAACCAACTCTCTGTAGCTGTCACTCTTGTGGTTACCCAAAAAATTGCAACAACGTTTTTAAAAGCCTTCCATGTAGATTTTTTTAAATTGCTTAATTTTTCTTCAAATCTTGAATCTTTTATTAACTTTCTAATTTAAGGGCCAACAAAAATATCTTTGCATCACTTATTTTAAGGACAACACATTGACCTGAAGTGGACGGTTGTGAATTGTCGTTCTCAACAGATGTAGTTGCAACTGGTATTCGTTCTGCCAATTTTTTAAAATGAGAGACTGGTCTTATAGCTGAAGGTAAAGTTATGGGTAAATAACTGTGTTTTTTTTCTTGTAATTTATACCTTTTATGTCAGTGAGACAAAAATAGCAATGAGAAACGTGATCTCGCTGTTCAGTCCATATCATGGGTCCAGCAAACGGCATAGGTCGTGCAGCTTTGTTCCAGACATGAGAGGACGTTAGGCAACAGATATGAGGGCCCAGGATTTGTCATGATGGGCGACAGAAAAACCAAAACATTGATGATAACACTCCAACACAAGATTCGTAAAATTTCGTCGTTGTTTTTTTAATATAAGTTCTCCGCAGACATAACAAAAAGAGTTAGGATCATTATTATACTTCCACTACATGTTCACAGGGTTAATAAATCCAAAAAAGTGTTCAACTTCAACGACAAATATTTCTATAACGATTTACTTGTAAGCATTTCTGTTAATTTACTGCCGTAGTACTAGTTATGAGTATTACCGTATCACAACAAATATGAGGCTAATTGACATATGGCAACTGTGTTTTAATAATGCGGGTAGATTGATAAAACAAAATTAGCTATCAAAGTTCGTGTGGCAAAACTAGTGTTGACCAGTGTTATTAAGTCTAATTAAAATTAATAGAAATTAAGTCAAAATAGGTACCTAATTTAAATATTTTATTTAAATTTTAGTTTTAAATACTTTTACTACAACTACTACTAATTTTATCATTCTAATATGTGAGCTATTTTCGAGCATAACTCTAGAATAGTAACATACATAAAAGAGAAAGTATCTATTGAAAAGTAAAGGTCAAAAGTTAAGATTTCTACAAACACTACGTACAGCTAAAAGCAAACATAAAAGGTGAAAGAATCACTAAAAGGTGGTAGATTATTAAGTGACCCTTATGGTAACACATAACAGGAACTTTGTTTTCATAGGGCTCACTTAAAAATTAGGGATTGATGGTGAAAACGAGCGTTAGTCTGTATTTTATATCAAAACAAAAGCTTTTTGAGTCAGCAGATAGCTGATAATACAAGACAACAACAATAACAACGTACGAGAAAGTAAACATTTGCAGATTTAGGTTCTCGTATAATAAAAATTGTGCAAACAGAATTCACTGCTGTTTAATTAAGTTTGTGGACATGATATTATAATTTCAGCTTCTTATCAAACTCGTTTCCGTTTATTTTTACTATCACATACGAATCATGCTATCATGTAGGTACGTCTGATATTATCTTAACAATGCTATTTATTGTTTTACTTTTATAAATTGACTCATAATTACATTACAACAAACATACAAAATATGTAATACATTTTAAACTTGTATGAAATACACATACCTAGTTACAGAGCTGTTAGCAAATGTCTGTCTAACATATAGTGCAGAATATTTAAGAACTAGACATTTAACTAGAAATAGCTAATTTCTTATCAGTGATGTCATTCAATTTGTTTTTACTGTATGGCAAAAGCATAATGAATGTGGATTTTAATTGATTTTCACACGCCGCGTGCGTAAACTCAAAAAGTACTAAACTGATTGTCATTAGGTTTTTAAGAACAAAGTAAATCACGAGAAAGATGAAGAAATGCGTAGGATATTTTTTTTATCCCGGTTTTTGAAACGATAAGAATAACTGTGATAAACCGATATTCAAGCACGTGAAGCCGCGGGCGCAAGCTAGAATCAAAAGAAACGCATCAAATACATTAATTTACCACTTATTGTATTAGAAAAGATACGGGTCCCATAAAAGAACGACGCTATAAATTCGGCGGCATAATGTCATCAGTGCAAAGGCCTTTCTCCCCTACAAACAAAGGTCATACAGATGAATTTCGTTCACAACAATGTCATACAATCAGTGTTGTTGCAGAATAGCATTCATTTCAAGCATGATAAGACTCAAATTTCGCTTAGCTGGATGTACACTCAGCGTCATATAGTTCGTTTGTAACACCCAAAGTGATGATCGTTGGGACAGAAAAGTTCTAGAGTGGCGACCACGGGCCGGTAGACGTAGTGTGGGCAGGCCCCCCACTAGGTGGACCGACGATCTGGTGAAGGTCGCGGGAGGTGCCTGGATGCGGACGGCGCAGGACCGGTCGTTGAGGAAATCCTTGGAGGAGGCTTTTGTCCAGCAGTGGACGTCATTTGGCTGAGACGAACGAACAAACCCAAGTCACGAACTTCTTCTCTTCGTGTCGACAACAAACCTACACAGTGTCAGCCCAAAACTCCGCCACAAGAGTGGCGTTGTCAGCAGCACTCATCAAATCCTCCTGAGTGCAGTTGTAGGGCACTCAGGGCACGACATCAGAGCCCCGATTACGGTAATTTTTAACGTTTCCAATCCAGACGCGCTTCATCGATTCTGCGATACGATTGGTCAAAACAGCTGACGTACGCTGTTTTGATCATTACGCTGACCTTAATCGGGGCTCAGGTGCTTCATCGACTGGGGAACAAAACCGAACTATTTGATGCTGACTGTACCTTAATGTTATTGCACCGTGACTCGTGCGGGTCGTGATTCGTTGAACTGAATGATTCAGAGATCAATTTACAGTCAATATCAATTGAAACATTGTTATTGATCAAATTATAGTGTGTTCTTGTTACGTCGACATAAAACCATACAAAGAAGGGTCGCCCATCTCAGCCCCGATTCGAACCCGCGACCTCCTCTGGGGTCCAATACGAACCACTACAGGTATTATGCATGAAGGTATCTTTTATTTTTTCGGGGACAAATGCATTGAATTGCATATAGGGTTGCCAGGCGTCCGGATAAAGTCGGACATAGTTAGGCTTTTTGATTGGATAACGCGCCAGGCCGAGCGTTATCCAATCAAAAAATTATGAAGCGCAGATCAAGACTTTGGGCAACCGATGATTATATTACTCACTCATGAGCTATGACACTAATGTTACACGTCCGGCTTTTAGGGTAAAATGTCCGGCCAAATGAAGTAAGACAGAGTCCGGCTTTTGTGTTTTTGGACCTGGCAACCCTAATTGCATACCTACCCTGCGGGGACAGGGTTACATCATTGTGTTCGCAATCAAATAAACGCCAAAACGAAGTACTTGAGTGTACCAACAAGAAGCAGTAGAGACTAAAGAACGTTTGATTTGATTTGTATTATCGTCCCCAGGTACCAATCATGCGTGCTGATGCTGACATTCTTCACGTACATGACGTACCACCTCACCCGCAAGCCGATCTCCGTCGTCAAGAGTGTTCTGCACCGCAACTGCAGTGGGTTCGTGCCACCGCCAGGAGTCGACCCGGCGGATGACAACTGGTGCGACTGGCCGCCCTTTAGTAAGTTTATTCGTTCATTCTTCCTACGTGATGTGCAAGCTTTGGTCGTTCATTCTTCCCACCTGACGCCTAATTCCCACCTGACGCGCAAGCTTTGTTCGTTCATTCTTCCCACCTGATGCGCATACCTCGTTGGTTCATTCTTCTTCCTACCTAACGCGCAAGTCTCGTTCGTTCGTTCATTCTTCCCACTTCACGAGCAAGCCTCGGTCGTTAATTCTTCCCACCTGTCGCGCAAGCCTCGTTCATTCATTCTTACCACCTGTCGCGCAAGCCTCGTTCGTTCAATCTTCCCACCTAATGTACAAGCCTTGGTTGTTCATTCTTCCCACCTGAGTCCTGACGCCCAAGACTCGTTCATTCGTTCATTATTCCCATCTGACGAGCAAGCCTTGTTCGTTCATTCTTCCTACCTGATTTGCAAGCATTGTTAGTTCATTCTTCCCACCTGACCATCTCCGTGGTCAAGAGTGTTCTGCACCGCAACTGCAGTGGGTTCGTGCCTCCGCCGGGAGTCGATCCTGCGGATGGCAATTGGTGCGACTAGCCGCCTTTCAGTGAGTTAATTAATATCTTATTTAAGTTTCATCGAAATCCGTTTAGTAGTTTTTGCGTGAAAGAGTAATAAACATCTGTCCATACTCACCACATCTTTAAACGTACATAAAACACACCATTTACAATTCAACAACAGCTGGACAGATTTTGATGAGATTGGATATCTCTATACCGCTAATAACTGATACCCTGGATTAACATAAAGGCGACTTTTTACCCGGCTACCTAAAAAAGGGGGGTTGTGTTTTAAGATACTTTATGGTTTTTTTTTGTCGGACGTTTGGTGTAGTGGTTTAAAACGGACTACTATTCCGGAGGTTGCGGGTTCGATTCCCGCACAGTACAAACATTTGTGTGCATGAACATATTTGTTTGTATTGGACTGGGTGTTTTCTATGTATACTATATGTATGTATTTCCATAAAAAAAGTATTTAAGTATGTTTATATCCGTTGTCTAGTACCCATAGTACAAGCTTTGCTTAGTTTGGGACTAGAAGCGCAGTGTAAAATGTTCAAGGATATTTATTTATTATTATTTATTTATTTTACACCGCCATTTTCAGTAATCATCATGAAAATGAAAAATGAAAATGTTTTATTTTATAAATAAAGTTGATCATCACACACATGTCACAAACAAATTCAAACAATTAACTTGTATTTAAAAGGAATTTTCTTCTAAGTTTTTTTAAGAGTGACGCAAGTTTGTCAACCAATTCACAGGAGTTTAAGTAAGATGAGATTGATGTCCTGGCTGGGGTCATTTTGACCAATACCAGTTAGGGTCCAAAAAGGGGAGTCAAATTTGCTACATCAGTGGGGTGAAGTGACATCACTTCGCAGTCCTGTTACAACGTGCCGGTTACAACTTTGATCCACCGCAAGGGCATCCCCATCCGATCAGCCACAAGTGGTTTCACCTCTTGATTAGGATTGAGGGAGTGTTCTCACCTCGTTCCTACCTCCTCAGCGCGCGAGCAAGCCGGGGCTAACATACTCACAGCGCGGTAGGGGAGAATCAGGGCAGCTCCCCCCCATCACTGCACTACTGTGTAGCAACGGACTCCCGATGGAACTTGAAATCTAGTTTTATATATACTTAGCGGGACCAAAAACTTCGTCACCGCGATTCAGGATTCGTGTGAGAAAGAATTAATGTGCGAGTTAGAAAAAAGTCCTTGTGCTTTTATTTTGGTTTTGCTGTGTATTACAAACACCCTGGGCGTCGTGGCTATTATTTAAAATTTGCAATTTATTATTAACATTGATAAATCGTAATTAATAAAGATTATTTTCATTAGATGTAACGTTTTTAGGGCGCGGTAAAGGGAACAACGCCATCGCTTGGCAACCTAAGGAAACTAACTAATAATGCGAATTTTACAATGCTTTTTTTTACGTCGATAAAATTACTCACTTTAACTTAATTTTTCGAAACAAAAAATATATAATATTTATTTTATTGTGTTTGTACAATAAAACAATGTATTTGAATGTATTTATAGATAAGTAGTAATTAAATATTTAAATAAATAAATATCCTTGGACATTGTACACTGCGCCATCTAGTCCTAACTATGCAAAACTTGCAAAGAGTACCCAGACAACAGATAATAAACAAACATACATAAATACTTTTTATGTAAAAACACCAAGATCAATGCAAAAACATAAGTTCATTCATAAACTTACAAATGTTTGTATTGTTCGGGGATCGAACCCGCGACCTCATGTACGCAAATCACACCTAACACTCAGCATCGCAGTCCAGCTATCGGTCGGTATTCCTAGGTAAAAATTAATTCAAATTCAAATAATTGATTTATAATTGATTGCTATTTGGGACATGTTAAGTGCCCTGGAAAGGGGCTACGTATTGAATAAACTATTTGATTTGATTTGACAGTGTTTATAACATAAAATAATATTGTTTATTATTTGTTCACAGACACGACAGACGCGAACACACTGCTAGGCGCTCTGGACTCAGCATTCTTGTTCTCCTATGCGGGCGCCATGTTTGTTTCTGGTAAGTAATGTAATGTTACACTGTTTTGTTACAATGTTACAATACACAATTCACTTTGACACGGAAACATCGATTTGACTTGAACCGAGAGACGCGGGCGAACCCCGCCGCCGCTCGACTATTGTGGTGAGCGATGAGCCCATTCATGACACAAGCATATTTAGCTTAGTACGAGGGGCTAACTTGGCTTCAAAATAAAACAATATTTAGTCCAATCATTACAGAATCAAGGCTGTTAAATTGAATCGAGTTTTGAGCATTTTTTTTTAATGCTAGACAAGGTAGCAGGTATTTGACCTCAATCGCACCTGATGTTAATGTTGGAAAGTTAGAAACTTTTTGGTTAAACGCAAGCATATTTGAATATTTGAATTTGGCACTCCGCTGTCAATGTAAGGTTTCCAGACTTCTGGATCAATCACTCGATCTCATGTAGTCTCTGTGTGCTGTATGTTCTAAAATAAATCCGTGGTAATCTTCGTGGTCTTTTCCTTCTTACGCTCCAAACTCCAACATGGTAGCAGAGCGTAGTTACAAGAAGTGAAAAGCGCTCATATTTCCGCGAGATTGGTCATACATCGCGCACTTGGAATTATTACCGTACCGGAAGCAGCGAACGGTATTCAAGATGGCTTCGATGGGATTCGGTCAGAATTGCATTGAGAGACTAAAGGGGGCAGAAAATTACTCCACGTGGAAGTTCTCGATGCGAATGGTGCTAATCCATGAAGAGTTGTGGGACTGCGTAGAAGCGGTGGCCGACGAGGACAACAAGAAGAAGGATGATAAGGCCTTAGCGCGCATCGCGCTGTCCGTGGCGCCGACCATAATCCCGCATATACGCACTGCCAAAAGTGCCCACGAAGCGTGGACAATACTACAGAAAACGTATGAGGGACGTGGTCTGAGCAGGAGATTGGGCTTGCTGCGGAGTCTCTTCAATACGAAATTATCGGAGTGTAGCTCAATGGAAGNCTCGTATCGTAGTTTATTCAAAAATATGCCTACATTTTAATCGACTTGCACTTACAGGTTTAAGATTTAGGATTATCTGTGATTTAGGTTTAGGTTTTTTGTTGCATTCGTTTGCGCGTCACTCGCGATAATAATAGCACCTACCTATTTATTTACGAGTAATAATACCGTGCTGGCACAAAATATACCTAGGTAGCAAAATATTATTTACTTATTTAATTATTATTTTACTAATGTTTTATTCCTTCTCTCTCTCTATTTATCGTCGCCGAACACGTAGAATTTCGTCCAATGACACCATGCTACCCATCCTTATCACTCGCGCGTAATTGTATTGCTGTCGCGCTCGCTCACTTACTGTGACGGCCCGTCCCCGTCGTACGGGCTCGGCGACCGGACTATAGCATCATTTTCGATTCACTTACACGTGCTGCGTGAATGGCTGGCATGCATACCTACTAAGTATATTGACGTTACTGGGATCGGGAGTAGCCCCAATGGATGGGTACCTGCCTACCAAGCTTGTTTTCATTTAGCGCGCGACACTGGTCTTTTTAAATAAGTAGGTAGATAAGATTAATAATTCCTAAATTAATCGTGTGCGTTACATCAGCGACATGGTGACCCTGGTCGGGATGTGCTTATGTGGAGGGGTTGGTGCCTTGTAGAGGTGGGCGCCGCTAAAAAATTGGTCGGCGGCGGCGCGCCGATTTTTTTACTTCGGCGGCGGCGGCGTCGGCGGCGTGACCTTGTTTGACCTTTATTCATTAGGTATTTTTTTTAAATCGGCTTTTTTAGTATCTTTCACCAAGACAAATCAGGTGGATTGCAGTTGGTTGGGGTTTGACACGATAGAGCCACTGGCGCAATGGTTTACCCTAGCAAATTAGCTCATTTGATCATAGATACTTTGATATTTGAATAGCGGGCTTGGCTGAGATCAGGTTTTCGTGTATTTCCTAAAGGCCAGCGTACCAATGTGCCGATAAAAGTACCCTTAACATGTATTTTTGAACTCTTTGGAGGCACATAGTTAATGTTGGATTAGCTGACTGTCGGTCGAATATATGTTCAGATCTGTTTTATTTATATTAATATGGTCTTTCCGTGTCATCCTACGGTCCAGGTTTTTAATGCAGGTTTATTGCAGCAATGTGTCGAGGTCTAGATTGGCCAGGAGATAAGTTTCACGTCTTAAATGATAACATGGTGAGACTTCGGGGCTTGCTTACATGCGCCACTTGGTCAGCCAAGCATTAGTGGCATTTAGCTGACTTTGCAACAGTCTATTCGCTTTAAGATCACAGTTACATTTGAGGAAAGCCGCAGCTTTCTGGTGTCTGGGCTACTTTACTAGTAAATGTTATAGAGTACCGGACCAAGTATAGAGTCCTGGGGTACTCCAGCTCTGCAGCTAAAAGAGAAAATTTTGTCAAGGAGTTTGATTTAAAACTGTCTGTCACTGAGATAAGACTCCATCAGCAAGTAGTAGAAGTTCGCTGGAAGGTACTTTTTAATTTCATAGAGCAGTCATTTATGCTAAACCCAGCTGAAGCCGCAGCGAAACCAGACGTACAGGATTCTTTCTTTTCCAAACATTGTACTGATTGTGGTTGGTTTCTGGCAAAATTTATGGTCGGATATACTATATTACATGGGTCATACTTAGGCATGGGAAAAAAACGAGCAAGAATGATCCTTTTCCATAATTTTAACAATACAAATGTCAGATTAATTGAGCTATTAGAAGGAGAATTCGTAAGGCCACTTGCCAGCCTTATGGATCATTTCCAAAGTTAAGAGACTTGCAAGATTCTCACTCAGTGTGTCATTGTCAAGACCATGGAGTTCATGGTGATCAGATCAAATGCAGGTGCTTTCACGAGGGTCTATTTTGGCTATTTCTTTAGGTTAGCCATCTCTCTTAGCGTTCGTTCGTTCATTTCAGTTGAAAGTCGTCCACTGCTGGACAAAGGCCTCCCCTCAACGATTTCCACAAAGACTGTTCCTGCACCGCTCGCATCCAGGCACCTCCTGTGACCTTCACCAAATCGTCGGTCCACCTAGTGGGAGGCCTGCCCACGCTACGTCTTCAGACTCGTGGTCGCCACTTCAGAACTTTCCTGCCCCAGCGGCCATCAGCTCTACGAGCTATGTGCCCCGTCTACTGCAACTTGATTTTAGCGATTCTGCGGGCTATGTCAGTCACTTTGGTTTTGCGGGTAAGCGGAAACATGGCGGACAATTCCTCAGATAGTCAAAGGTACAAAGATGTCCAGTACGTCTAAGATGCGCGTCGTGATAACTTTTATGGACGTCAAATTGTATGGGCAAAATCGATAAAATAGCGTGATAACCGCTTATCGCGCCGCGCATCTTAGGCCTACAGAAGCAGCATAATATGAAAAGATGCAAAATGGGCCCTCTCAAATCACAATGGGAAGGTTTGGCTGCACAGCGCCTAGAATGGCGGGAGATTGTGAAGAGGCGAATCCGCGAGTTCAAGGAGCAGCGCACAACTGAACTCGACGCGAAACGCGATGATGTAAATCCCGTCCATCTGCCGCCATTCACTATAATTATGTTGGCGGCGTGAGAACACTGAGGGAGGTACTTTGTTACCTTCCAGAGGTTGTGGTTCTTATTTGTATTCCGAGACATACTTGCAAATCTCTGTATGAGTTATTCGCTTAAAGTATAATCCAATACTGTGGGTTATCTGCCAGACGAAGGCGGCGATTTTTTTCTTGACAGCAAGAGGGACCGGCGCCTCTCGCGATCAATTATTTACTAGGCCAAGCAGCAACTTGAATAATGTACTGGATTAACTGTTAATATAGATAGTATTAAGTTATTCAATCTATTTATTAGTATATCAACGGTATTAAGTTCA